GTACAGTCAAGAGGGAGGGTTAGGAACCCTCCCTTTAACCTGACTCATGTTCTAGGGGAAGGCTCTATCCTCTTTGATGACAGAAGACACTCTGTGTTTCTTTTCTTCATCTTTCCAGTCTTAGGCATCCCAGATTACTGATGTACAATAAATGTTGGATATGCAGCAACTGACTTAGTTACTTTGCTTGACAAACCTTGCTGTCTCAGCAAGCTCAGCTCTAGTCTATGCATCAAGGGGCTCACGATATGTCCTTGTGCTTCCTGACTGTGAGATACTTGTTAACAGGTTTGAAATTGTACTTTGATTAAAAAAATCTTAGGAATGAAGTTTTAATGATGCCAAACTACAAGTCCAAACTCCTTCAAAATGGAGAATAGTTACCAGTGGCAGCCAAGTTAAGCTTTTAGGTATGAAAGAATAATTTGACGCTGCATCAAAAGAATCTGTCTCCAGATACGCCCTGTCAGGACAGCCTTTCTTCTCCAAATACAAAAGAATATGATTAAGAAAACTCAGGGAAATGAGCAAGCAGCCTGGTCACACTGGCATCCGGGGGTAGTGTTTGCCCTCTCAGCTCCCTGCTGGTGGCAGCAGGTGAAGTGGAAAAGCACACATCTCTTCACTGAAGCAGCAGCAGGAGCTAAGGGTCTCCTATTGTACCCAATCCTAATCCAGGCTACATTCATCCTTCTTGTTTCAAAAACCCAGGGCTTCTCACAGGGTTACGCAGATGGTAAAACAATGTATTTTAAAACTGTAACCTAACAAAAATGTAGAGAATTTAAATTACATCCTGGAATGGTGCAGTGAGCACAGTGATGTCCGTACAGGATATGTGAGTTTTTAAAACAAGTTTCTCAGAGTCTGGAGGTAATAATTTGTAAAACTATTTCCCTGGTGTTGGCTGTTGATGCACTTCAAAAAACAGACGAGAAAAATCCCAGGGTGTAAATCCTCCTAAAATTTACACTGGCAGATTTTAATAAAAGATATATTCTTGAAAACTGGAAGAGGAGTAGCAAAGTGATGTGAAGGTTATTTAATCTCTTGAGCATTTTAATTATTTTAAAATGCTTTGTATAAATAAATTGTTTTCAAGGAGCATTATTCCTGTTTTATCCCAAATTTGCCTTTGTGTCATTAAAAAATACTAAAATCTTCTGTATAAATCTGAAGATTGTAAGGAATATGTTTTTAATAAAATAGAATTTCCAGAAACAGACAAAGGTTAGAATATTAAAATATTGATAGGTGAATAATAAATTCACTGTTTTTCATGAAAGTTCAGGCTCCTAATTGTCTTAGATCCTTCAAAAACTCTTATCTCGTCTCATAGGAAAAGAAGTCATCTAACAGTGAAAATGTTCCGACAGTAGTACAGTGCATTCTTAATTTTATAATTAGGCTATATAACTAATTAACACTGATTCCTTTTACCACCAAGAGAGAATTATTTACTGCTTTTTGTAAAAAAAAAAAAAAAAAAAAAGAAGGCATTTTTCATGGACATCTTGTATAAGAGCTAGAAAATAATGGGTATTTAAATTTGCACCCTCCTGAAGCACATTATAGCGAATGTGTTAAAAAAGGCATACTCAATGAATACTTGAAAATTTATTGAAATGGGATAATGAAATCATAATGCATGTTAGCTAGCTAGTGACAAAGTCATTTTAAAAGCCTTTACCATATTCAGATTGCAGGTGATTAGCTGCCTCTCAGAAATGCAAATGTCCAAATGGTGTAAACTCTGAGAACAACTGCTTTAGTAAAAGCCTGCTTAATTTAAAGTTCCATATTGCTCTTAAGCACAGAGCAGGGCTGCCAAGCATTGAATAGCCAAGCAGTTTGGCCACATTTGGAAATAATCTTTCCTGTATGAAATAGGATTCAAGTGAAATACTCCATTTGGACCTTTTCCATCAAATGTTAACTTTCCAATTTTTCAGTTAATAAAAAAGAATATAGTTGATTATGTTGGATAGAAAATATACTAGAAAAACACAGCATTGCTTGTTTTTGTTACTGAATTCTTAGCAATCTCTGAATGATATATGCCTCTGGTGGGGGAAATGTACTGAGGACTGGAAAGTGCAGTCAGGCTGGCTATGTGGTTTAAGAAGCAGATTCCAAAATAACAGCCTCCATTAGCACCGTAGGTGGGTATGTATGCAAAGTGATTCCTATTGTCTCAGGGGGAAAAAGCTTGTTGGTTTAATGCAGTACTCTAGCTACTCCCTGGTGACTAATTCATAGCTACAAAAACACAGAACTGAAGACAATCTATGAACCTGTTTACATTATCTGCTAGAGGCAACGTGCAATACTAATGGAAACTTTTTGGGATATGACAGGGAAATAAAAATATAGTTACACTCAACAGCATGCAAATGGCATAAATAGGAAGAAATTTGTGCAAACCCAAAGTCTATTTCATTAAAACAGGATTTAAAAAAAAAAAATCACCTTGCTTCAGTTCATCAAAACATGAAGACTGCAGTGACAGCAGCTCTCTGTGTTCAACGGAGCTATGAAGGTACACTCCAATATTCTAAGAACAATCTTGGAAAGCCATTTATAGCAACTTTTGGGAGATTGGATCCTTCTTCAGGATAAAGAGTAGAATGCAACAAATACAATAAACATCCAGGTAGTGTTCCGAGTAAAATCAGGATAGGATTGACAGGATGAGAAGAAATGACCTCAAGTTGCACCAGGGGACATTTAGAATGGATATTAGGAAAAATTTATTGTTGTAAAGGCCCAGAGAAGTGGTTGAGTCACCATCCCTGGAGGTGTTTAAAAGACATGCCAATGTGGTACTTATGGACATGGTTTAGTGGTTCACTTGACAGTATTAAGTTAATGGACTCAATGATCTTAGAGGTCTTTTCCAGCCTAAGTGATTCCATTATCATTCTATGATGTTAGTGGGCAAATCTCCAATACCAATACAAGTTGGAATGAACTGGGAGAGTATCACATGCTAGAAACCTGGGCAGATCTATAGCATTTAGACTTGGTGGGAACATCACCACTGGAGGTGTTCAAGTCTGTATTAAATAACAAGATTTAAAAAAAAAGGTTTATGACATTTAGAAAGGCCTTCCACATATACTTCTATATATATGGGTCTAATTTTGGTTATCATTATAGCTCTCAATTAAATTGAATGTAACAGCTAGGATATTTGCATAAGAGCTATCTGCACTGAAAAAGAAAAAAAAAGAACAAAAATGCCAGTTCTTTAACTATGTTCTTCTTTCATTTAAGGTCTACAGAGCATTTTGTAAACACTTTCTTACAGTGTTAATTTGTTTTTTCTTCAAACTTTTAATGACACCATTTTTGCAACGTGATAAAGTGAAAGTTCAGACTGCACACTGAGCACTTCATGCTATGCTTGAAAATTATACTGCATCTCTGAAAGCAGACTAATTGATACATGTTTTACAGATCAAAGCTTTCACCTCCACATGGGAAACCTACAATACAGCCTAAATATGAAATATTTTGTTATTTATTCCCTAGTAAGCAAAGAGTAAAAACCCACATCACAAAGGTGTGGAAATGGCATACCTTTTGCACTGCCTTTCACATATAGAGCCAATAATTGACTTATCTAGCATAAAGCCATAGATAAAAATGGGCTAGAAAAAAAGGAAAATACTGTCATATCATTAAGTTGTCTCAGCTTAGTAGTGAATAATCAGGGAAGGTTTTCCTTCCTTATATACTTTGCTTCAATTTGTTCAAAATTATGAGTAGACTTTTTCGTTATCCAGCTTGCTCAGATGTGAGAGCATGTGTTGAAGTTTACTTGGTCTTCCCAGCAATCTCAAATTTTACTGTGTGTTCTTCAAAATCAGGCTGTCAAGGGAAATACTAAATGGAGGTTTTGGCAAAACATTCATCAGATTTTCGATAATCTAGTTTGTTTTTCAGTCAATCTTGAATACTATAATACGATCACAGTATGGTACTTAAAAGAAGGTATTAAAATGTTAGCACATGAATTCTCAGATATCCTTTCAGGCGGCTTGGAAAACAAACTCCTCATTAGTGATGGAGAAAATGAAGTGCACACAGCAGCAGAGGGGTCAGTGCGAGAGTTTGGCTCAGTACTGAAACTTGGCATAGACCACACCATTTTTCCACTGACATATAAAGCATGTAAGCATATCCACAGCACTGACTTTCATCAAAGTATTTCAACAAATTTTCCAAGAAGAAAAACACTTCTGCATTGGCTCAGAACCAACCCTACCTAGCTCAGTGTGGTGCCAGGGTGTTTGATGGTGGACAAAGGTGAGGGCATAGAAGGGTGTTAAGGAACTGTGGAAGCACACAGCAACCATTTCTCACATGCTCTCCCAGGCCTCAAGAGCTTACAGCTCTGGGACTTCCTGAGCCAGGAGGAAGACTCTGCACTTCATTGTGCTCAGTGGACTTGTCTTGCATGATCTGTCCAGGCATCTCATGAACTCAAAACCACAACAACCCTCTGTGGCAGTGAGCTCCCAGTCTACATACATGTTGACTGAACAAACTCCACTTTTAGATTGATTTGGTTCATTTCATAATCCTTGTTTCTTAAGCAAAGAAACATGTGTCAGTTAGTGATATTCTCATAAAAAGGGAACAGGAAGAAGCTGAATGACTTCTCCAAATTCATAGTCAATGATCCTGGTGATTGCAGAACTCTGAACCCAGAAATGCCAACTTCCTGACCAAAGATTAGACAGTACTTTTTTTTTTAGAGGAATTAAATGAATTAATTCTGAATCTTAAAATCTTTTTAAAATATTATTGATTTGGATTTAAAATTGAATCTTTAAATCTTCCCAGAAAACATTTTTTTCCTTTTTTTTCCCTTTTTTTTCCCTTTTTTTTCCCTTTTTTTTTCTTGACATAGGAGTACATTTATATTTAAAGGCACTTGGTTTACAGAGAAACAGTAAGGAAACAGAACTACAAAAGAGAAGGTTTATACTTACTAACAACATTAGCTTGTCCAGTGAAGATGGTGTACTGCAGTTCATAAGAGACCACGCTGAACTCATCATCCGATGTCCAGTGGACAGTAATGGTGTCATAAGAAGCTGTACAGAGCTCTTCTCGAATGGTGGGTGGGTTGGGAGCTGTGAGATAAAATAGAGGAGGCTTACTTACACAATTAGTAAAGTATTTCCCCTCTCACCTGAGATTAAGAGAGACACCTGATGCTTGAATTTGCAGCAATACCATCTAAGAGACTTTTCAACAATGTTTTATTAATTCCGGTGGTAAATTTGATCATTTGACTATGATTTCCAACAAACAGTTGGAAAAGAATTCTTACTGTCAAGAAATCCCAATTTTGAAAATAATTTGTATTAAAGTAGCATTTGTTTCAGATGCCCTAGAACAAATGATGTGTTGGTGGTCACATTAAACTGTGATTAAATGGATAGAATTGACACGTTACTTTTTCTAGGATTGTTCTTACCATCATACCAAAATTATCAGACTTTCACTGATGCATATCAAGAGGGAGAGTCAACACTCTTATGAGCTGACTTGAAAGCAGTGTTTGACTAACCTATCTTACCAGAGATTGGTTTAAGTGGTCTTTAAAAAATACAGTTCTGGGGAAGCTTTAAACACTTATACTTTCATGTTCAATTTTCTCCTCTCTCTTAAAGAGCTATGTAAATACGTGAAACTTGAAGCAAACTCCTTAGGTCTAAATTTTCCTTTTTTGCAATCTTTACAAAGCCAAACACCTAAATAAGAGAGAAGTGAGTCTCTGTTTCAAAGACTGGTGGATTGTCCTCATTCTTGTCTCAGTGGGAGCTTCATTACTAATCATCTTCTCTACAAGCCACATCATGGGAAAAAAATAAGTCCTTGCTCTTAACAGTGTTTCTCCCAACTGTCATAGACAGCAAAGGAGGGCACTCAAGTTGAAACAACCAAAATATGCCTGTATTAAAGGAAAAGGAAGGTAACTCTGACTGTTTGGTTTTTAGTTTAGTCCGGTGGTTTTTTGGTTTTGTTTGTTTGGTTTTTGGTTTGGTTTGGGTTTTTAATTTTGTTTTTGCTTGGTTTTTTTCCTGTCAGGTCTTTAACCTCTGTTAGTAACAAACAATGGCCTCTAAAAAAGTCCCTCTGAAGGAATTCCACCTTTACTTTTGCAACATCTTTTTTTTATGAAACATTTATTTTACTTTCCATTAAGAATTTTTGCAGTTCATCTCTCTGGTTTACTGATGTATGTTCCCAAGAATTAAAGTACATACACATTTCCAAGCAGCCTCTTTCAACCAAGGGGCATAAGGAAATACTCAAATGTCTTTCATGATATGGCCATGATTTGTGATGCTCTAAATAATGTATCATGGAAGTTTACCAATGCCTTTCTTTTTAAATCAGCAGAGGAACCCTTGGAACAGGTGTGTATTAATGAAAAGAAAGAGAAATAAACTAAGATAAGAACAGTTATCCAGGAGAAGAATATAAACAAAAGGAGTAGAAAAACTCTCCATAGTTTTCTGGAAAGGTTAGTGGTACTATCAACTATGTTTCAAAAATGTATCTAGTAGAAAAATCACTGGAGATTTTTTTTTTTTTATATATATTTTTTTCCTAGCTGAGGCTTCTTATTAATATTTTGTCTGTCTTTCAAAGGAAAAAAAAACCAGAATAAGTCTTAATTACAAATATACAAGTTAATCCATTTTTTTGTGTACAGGTATTCAACTGAACTCTCCTTCAGTCATCTCCTTCACCTAACACAGCAAAATACTTTACTTGGGAAATGTACTTATTATTACCTCAAAGCAGAAAAAAAATATTAATTTATGGAAAACAAAAATTACTGAAGATTTAATGAACTGTAAACTGCATTTAAATAGCACCTAAGTGTCTTCAATTCCTTTGCAAATGGCAGCCTAATTTCATTCTTCATATGCACACCTGGCCTTATAGGTGGAAATGTACAGGCCTTCATGTAATATGAATGACTGAAAAGAGATTTGACCTAAGCAGAACATATATTCCCTGGCTCTTGTGATTAACCCCCACCCACCTGAGACTATACTGCATGAAATTCAGGTTTTCAGCAACATTCATTTCATAAACCACTCATCATAAAAGAAATACATCTGCTTCTCCTACAGAAAGGTAGGCAAGTCTACATTCAAATGCTTTGTTACAACAAAATGTATAATGCAGGCTGCCAAATTCATAATTCCACAGCACATATTCCTTTAGAGAGTGTAAGTCTGTAATGCAATTAAAGAGGTTGATCTCATCCGGTTAGCTTCATTTGATAGAGTGTGATCTGGTTATTGAATTCACTGGGACTGCTACAGAGCTAAGGTGCCACAGGGAAAGCTCCTCAAAGACTGGTGGTCTCCAGGCTGCACTATCAACTTCCCCTTTGTGACTCAGATTTGATCCACCACTGTTCAGGAAGCCCAGCACGCTTTCAGCACAGCAGTGCATGACATAATAAACCTTCAGTTCTCCATAGGGGATCAGAGCACTTATCTGGGAGTGGTAACTGCTTCAGACACTCAGACTTTCATCCACCTGCATTTGTGAATCAACACTCTCACAAGAGAGCAAAATCGTTGCTGAAGGCTGTTTTACTTAATTTCTACTCAAAACTGAGCAGACACACTTAAAAAGTCAGTAATCACATCTGAAATGCCTGAAAGCCACTAATAGTAGAAAAGTAGTTTCTTAAATTTGCTCTCAGATGTAACAGGCCTTGTGAGCCCAGCTGCCCCCTCTCAACCAGGTTAGTCTAACTCACCTTCCTTTCCATGTCATCTGCATGGCTTTTGCCATGAATGCACTCACGTGGTCCATACACCTGAAACTGCCTCCTCTCATTAGTGGATCCCAGCATGAACACAGCAGCCCTTGGTGACTAATGAGACTAAATTCTCTCAGCCCAAGGTCACAGAGATTGATAAAAACCACCTCAGCTTCCTTTTGTTTGCTCAGTCTCCATCTCCCTGCTGTCATGGTGTGGTTGACTTTGTAAGGATTCCCTACTGATTTTGATACTGAGTAAAGAAAGGAAGATCTAAGCCATCTCTTTGACTAAAATGGTGCTAGAAAGATCCATATTGCTGGCATGAACATGAGGGAGTTGAGGAAGGTGCTCTGAACCTCTCTCAGATATTCATTACTGACTCCATCATGTATCATGACACTGAACTGCACCAGTATGCAGGAATTTGAAAGGCACAGTTTCATCAGATGTGGATACAAATGTTGTGTATTACTAACTTGCCATGTCTGAGTTGATTTCAAGAGCTCAGTCACACAATTGCTCAGACATAGTTTTTGGGTAGACCAGAACCGCTCAAAACCAACAGAATGAGAGGAGATTATACCCAAACAATGAAACTGAGCTAGCTGGACTGGTTTTTGATCTTTCAGTAGTGAAAGAGTTAAGCAGTAGAACAGGTTGTTTCCTGTTGTTTCCTGGAAGAGTTTCCAGAATGAAGTTGTTTCTGTGTGAAAAAATTGCTGGCATATGCTAGGCAATGCATATTTCTTTGTGCAGTGACAGCTAAAGTGATGAATAAAGAAAACTTATCATTGTTTCAGATGTGATTTCTGTAGCAGGGCAAATTGCAAGGTCAAAGAATAGATGTTCCTGCGAAGTACTAAGACACAGAACAAGTATTTTTGATTCACAATGGATAAAAAAATTCCTTAGGAATTGTGCAGAGAGTTTGCAAATCGTATGTATTGCCTGGATCTAGCTAGATACACTTTTAGAAAATGATGATTTCCAGATGGATAGCTAGAGCAACAGGCAAGATAAGAAAGCTTTCAAAAGATATCAAGGCTACATATACAGATAATAGAACAGTCAGAGGAAGATTAGAAGTATTGTTTTAAGATACTGAGCTTGATACGTCAATGTCTGGCTGGCAACTTTCAGAAAGATACCAGAGATTTTCATTTGGATAGTAGAAGCTTTGGAAAGACAGTTGCACAAATGATAAACACAAACTGGTTAAATTTATATTCAGGAAAGAAATAGTGTAGGAAGAAAGAAAGATGCAAACATCAGTGTGCCATATAGAAAAGTGGGACTGAGGAGATGGAAGATGAAAAAGATCTGACAAATGGTACACTGGGAAGAACCAAAAGACAAAAAAATCTCCCAAAGACAATCGAGGTCAATTGTTGCAAAAGCAACTGGCAGCAGAGATAATGAAGCTGGAATTTAGACTTTGACATTTTCTTCAGAAGCAGTACAGATGATAGTTGTAAGGTAGGCTTCTTCACTTAATTCACAGCATAGATCTACCACTAGGACTTACAAATGGTCTTCATTTTACTTAACTGTGAAAAATGATAAAAGTAAAGCGTAATTCACTCTGTCACAAAGTGTTCAGTTTAAGATCTATGAAGATTCCATGCACCAGTCTGAAAGGAGTAATATAACATAAATCTTCCTCCAGAGTTTCTGAACAACAGTAGAGAATAATCAAGTGCATTTGACTCTCGGGAATATATATATATACACACACACACACTACAGATATACATATATTTACATAAATGTATTTTAACTGTCTACATAGGTTGTATTTTATGCTTAGATAATTTGAACATGTGTTTTGTATTTTACCATTGCAGCCATATGCTCTTTATTAATGTGAAGAAAAATAGCACAAAAACAAAGTCAGCTAAAACTGTTTTTTTGTTGGGCATCAAGGGCAAGGATAAAAATGGTCTATTAGGAAAAAAACAGCTAAAATGCTTGATGAATTTACAAGTTCCCTTAGACTGCACTGTAAGCAATTTCTTAAGACCATGGATGAGTTTGGAAAAAGGTGGAGAAGGAGCTGTGTAAATGACACAGTCCGAATGATGAATCACAGAAAAATTCTTTCTAGCAAGACAACCCTTGTGCAGATACAACCTTCCTTTGTTTCTGGAGTTCCTATAGCAATTAAGCTGATAATATTGACATATGATGTACAAAGGGGAAAAGACCTCAGGGGTGCAGAAACAGACTGCTAGACAGAATTCACCTCGTATAAAGATCTAAACCATAATTATAATTATCTGTATTTCAGTGAGTACATATAACCTCTGTTTGGAGACAACTGGAAGAAATAGGCAACTTCAGAATGAGTCAACTGCCCTGATATGTGTGCCTTAAAATGTGGTGGTTATTCTTCGTTCACTGTAAAGGAAGTTGAGATTGATTATTTTAAGGGCAGATTACTAGGTTAGGGCAAATGAGCGTGGTTTTTTGTTTTAATACCTCCTTTGATTTTCTTGGATTTTTATAGTTTTGGGGTGAGTGCTCAACATGGTGGCAAAATTCCAGCGGGTTTGGGGAGAGGCAGACACTATACATTTCACTGCTACTGTATAAGAAGTTGAAATTACTCTTACCCCATTATTATTGTGTCTTATTTAATAGAATATGTCTAAGATATTGATTGTATTCATCAGTCACATGGTGATACAGAAATTTCTTCTAGATAAAATCTCTTTTTCAGATATGGCAAGAACTCCACAGCTCTATCAGGCAAGGGTGCTGCTGCCCCTTGCACGCCCCCAGTCTTGCACTGCCCAGTATTAATCTGTTCATTTATTCATGGTATCATAGAATCATAGAATCACAGAATCACAAAACAGTTTGGATTGGGAGGGACCTTTAAAGGTCATCCGGTCCAGCCCCAAACAGTGAACAGGAACATCTTCATCTAGATCAGGTTGCTTAGTGTCCTATCCAACTTGACCTTGAACGTTTCCAGGGATGTGGCATCTACAGCCTCTCTAGGCGGCCTATTCCAGTCTCACCACTCTCACTGTAAAAGATTTTTTCCTTATATGTGGTCTAAACTTATGCTCCTTTAGTTTAAAACCATTACTCCTTGTTCTATCATAACAAGCCCTGATAAAATGTTTGAAGTATTGAAAGGCCACAATGAAGTCTCCTTGGAGTCTTCTTTTCCTCAGGATGAACAATCCTAACTTTCTCAGCCTTTCCTCTGAAGAAAAGCCAGCAGACAGCACCCTGCATGGAAAAGATACAGTGACTGGCAATGAGAAGACTGCACTCTCACATTCTCCTGAACTAACATGAGTATACCAACTGCAAACTGGGACAAGTGAATGGACCCAAGAAGTGTTTTCAAGTGTTTTTGTAACAGTGCTTTGTGCCCTTCATTGCAAAGTCTTGCTGTTAACAGCAGATGCTTAAAAACACTGCAAAATTGACTATTCTGTTTTCAATTGAACTGGAATGAATTGTTCTAATTCTGGCATTGAAATCAAAACATCCTAAATTACAGTAATTTGTTTCTCTTTGTGAGTCATTGTACACTCTGAGAGTGCACATTACTCAGGCTTTCAGTAAGGGTCTAATCCTGTGGGCTTCTTCAGGCCAAAGATCTCAGTTAAGTGAGGTGGGGCTCTGCTCTGTGGAGAGAACTCAACCCACACTCTGGCAGAGAGCACACTGTGTGCTCTCTAGTCCAAGACATAGCAAGATCCTCCAGTTCAGTGATGAGGGAAATACAGTGTCACCGACATGAGAAAAATCTTTCATTGCTGATGTTGATTACTAGAACTGCTTCTGGTTGCTCCTGGGAACTCTGCCAGGCTGCAATCTGCTGCAGCATGGAGGCAGCCCCAAGGGAGAGGATAACACCTGGAGCACCCAGCTTCTGGGAAATGGGGTTTGGTTCCTGCTCTCCCTCCTCTGGCTGCTCCATGCTGAGCTCCAGCTGTTTTTTCACTTTGTTCTGCTGCAGTGGCTTTTAACCATTTCTCACTCACTTCCTCACTCCAGTGGGGAGGAATGCAAGGAGAAGAGGTAGGAAACACGTCCCAGTTGTGTTGTGTAGCACGTAAGGCATTCTGGGGCATTCTGGGGCTGCTAGGGGTAATACATTTGGGATTAAGTGGAGAGAGTAGTGGGTTTGTGTAGCAGGGATTTGGTTGTGGCTGGGTTGTAAGGGTGATCCCTGTCAGAAAAGACCGAGAGCTGACTCCATGTCAGACACAGACAGTCCTGTGACAGACCTGCCACTGCCCAAAGCTGAGCCCATCACCAATACTGGTAGTGCTTCTGTGGTAACATTTTTAAGAAAGGGTAAAAAAGGCTGTGCAACATCTGGGAGGGAGATGAGTGAGGAAATGTGATAGAAATAGCCCTGCACATGCCAAGGTCAGGGAAGGAGGGGGAGAAGTGCCAGATGCCAGAGCAGAGGTTCCCCTGCAGTCTGTGGTGAAAACTATGGTGATGACAGAAGACAGTGAAGCAGATATCCACCTGCAGCTGTGAAAGATCCCCGCTAGAGCAGGTTGATATGCTCTGGAGGAAGCTTCAGCCTGCAGAGAGAAGACCACATAGCAGCAAGATTTCTCACAGGAACTGTGGCCCACACTGAAACAGTCCACTCCTGAAGGGCAGCATCTGGCAGAAGGACCAACGCTGGAGCACTTCTTGGAGAACTGTAGCCTGTGGGAAGGGCTCATGTTGGAGAAGTTCATGAAACTCCATTCCGTGGGAGGACTCTCATGACAGAATAGTGGAAGAGCACCAGGAAGAAGGAGTGACAGAGATGATGTGTGGTGAACTGACTGCAAGCCCCACTCCCCATCACTGTGCACTGCTCTGTGGGGAGGAGGTAGAAGAGTTGGGAGAGAAGTTGAACCCAAGAAGGATGGAGTGGAGGACAGTTTTTCTTAGACATATTTTTATTTCTCAGTGTCCTACTTTTAAAATTAATTGGCAATAAATTACATTTATCTTCCCCAAGTTGACTCTATTTTGCCTGTAGCAGTCATTCTTAAGTGAACTCCTCTTGTCCTTATCTCAACCCATGAGCTTTTCATCTTATTTTCTTGCCTTACTGAGGAGGTAAGGGGAGAGTGCCTTGGCCGTTAGCCAAAGATGTGACCGCAGAAAAGACTGAAGAAAATCCTATCACTACTGTTTTATGATGAATATATTGCATAACACCTTGAGAAAAAGTACCTGTAAGATAATCAAGGCATTCCAGCAATTTCTTCTCCCTGGTAAAATCAAGTGCGAAAGTATCAAAAGTATCATTGAGATTTATTTCAGGAATTAGAACCTGGGAGGAAGCAGTTGCCATGGAAACCCTGTAATCAAAAGAAAAAAAAATCTTTTAGCATTCAAGACAGTAACTTTCACATCATTGTCGACCTATCAATATGATTATCATTGTCATTTTGAACTTTTTTTTTTCTCAAAAAGCTTGTCAAAACCTTTTGCAAGTATTTTATATGGTTTAAGTTAGGAGCTTGTCCTGCCACTTCATTTTTGAGAGCAAAATCTGCAATAAAAACTTCTTATTACTGAACTTTGGCCTAACATGAAGTGTTGGGTAAGATTTTAACAAAATATTAGTTAAGCAAAAATACACTTTGAATTGCTCTTTCTAATGACCCATTGAACCAAAGTAGCAATAGCACCATAATTGTCTGTGTTTTAAGCAATCCTGACAGACGCTGCATCTCTCCCAATCCTTCTTTTTCCAAATAGTTTCTGGCTCCAGGCATTCCTTGGCACTGCTATCCCAAGGGCTTGGTGCAGATCCCCACACCTCCTCAGCTGTTCAGCACAGCACACTGCTGTTAACTTCAAAAGGCACAGGGGGGAGATAAAACAAATAGATGTCAGCACAGTTTATTTTGAAAGGCTTTTCCCTGAAAAGCATGGGTGCATACTTACATTTCCTCCAAAACTGAAAGGTTTCCTTGCCTACCTCATTTCAGGAGCTACATCCACATTTTCTCTGTCCTGCTGTACTAATATAAAGAGATGAACTTTCACAAGAGAACTGCCATCAGAAAGGATTTTTCAGATCCTTCAGTTTGGTATCTCAAAATGCATGTTTCTAGAGAGCTGGATTATGGATATGTTTACAGAAAATTCAGTTGATTTAGGCAAAGAGATTACTAAGCCTCATTAGAAACTGATCAATTGCTTCAGTTTGGAGGTAAACACACAACCATGCACACAATGCATGTCTGTTATCTGTCATTCATGACACGACAGATAAAAATATGTTGATTGCTTCAATTAAAATTTTCCCAAATTAGAGTGTTTTTTCTGTAAATGGAACTGAAATGGCTCCAGGACAAATGTTTACTAAGGACTCTATTTTTTCATATATTTTTTGTTTAGTATTTCAGGAAAATACAGTTAGGAAAGGCAAAAACTGATCTGTACATCTCATTGTCTTCAGCACAGTTTTCAGAAACTGAGCTAAGGAGGGTTCCTACTCAATAGTTCTTGTTAGACAGTTTCAAATATGATTTCTCTTGCAACTGTGCTGTAAAAATTAGTTTAAAGTAGATCCCAGGACAGATTTTTTTTTTTTTTATAGAGGCCAGCTGAAGTGCCTTTTGCCCCATGTATTTAAAGGGAAAAATTCCCTCAACTTTTACACTTATTTTTCTTTTTCCCCACCTCTCAAACCCCCAGTATTTCATCTGCAGTTATAATATGGTGTTTTTACACCTAGTAGGAAAAAAAGACATGTATTTCTTGCACGGTCTGTGTTAGGGCAAACTCAGGGTGACACTCACCTCTACAAAATTAACAATGGCTTTGCTAATTAACCAGCAAGCAGGTATGCAAGAGCTTCTTTGAACACCTCCACAAAGCACATATTTATTATGTAGACTGTATCACCAGGCCTTTTTGGACTGTCATTCAGGGCCATGCAAAGGGTGCTCTGTGATTACACGTTACACTCATTTTTTGGTGAGCTCAACAATTCGCAGTTTCAGACACCATGTCACAATATTAGCTTCAGAGGATCGAATTTCGTCTTGTAATTCTTCCTTCTCTGTCTCACACTGTGCTTGGTTGGAAAGGTTTTTTTGTGGGATAAATGCATTCTGTGCACTGTAAATAATACACAGCCTAAATCACCGGAGTCTGTGTAATGACTTCGCTTGCATAGTTACCTGTTGTGCTTACAACAGAGAACATTATACTGCAATTACTTTGAAATATGTGGATGAAGAAATGCAATGAGTATGATTTCAGGAGACTGCTTTAGCTGCTGGAGCTCAGAGCCCTGGTGAAACTGTTACATGAGCAGTCTAAAAGCAAACAAAATGTTGCTCATCACATGAGATCTAAGAACGTTACTTGGGAGGAATAATTTATTAATCTGATTTAGTCTCTTTTTCCATTTGCAATTTGTCTGTAAGCACTTGGTGCTTTTTTACCCTTGGTTTTATTCACTGCTTGAAATGATTCTTTGATTTGCAGGGCGTTCACAGACGTCTCATTACAGACAGCAGTCTGTGATAGCCAAGAATTAAGTTTGATTGGGCCCATATGTCAGCTTGTCTCATTTTTGCTCTCTCAGTGTCTCTCCTGTGACTGTATTTATGACTGTAAAACTGTTCATGTTTTACAAGTTCAAAATGGAGCTTCTCTGATTATTCCCTGGTAGTCACTTAAAAAGCTCTGTCTCCACAGGTTTCTGCCCTACTGCTGGTTGTGCTGAGTACTGAAAAAAGGACAGGCTCCTAGCTTCAGCTTTTGGTACTCATGGTAGTTTTACTACTAGCTTCAACTGGGATGTACAATGTAGCTTGGTGACAGAATACAAACTAGGCTATAAGTTTGAAAGACCTCATATTCTCCACTGCTTTGTCTGGCCTTGCTTTTTCCAACAGATTTTCAATTCTCTGAAACTGTTATGAGCAACACAATATTGATGGTTTATTTAAAAATTGATTAATTAGCTTTGCCAAAGACTGATACAGCACACCAGAGTAAGTGATAGGCTTAAAAAAATACATAATAGGAGCAGGGAATTTCATGCTTTGTATTCAGGGAGAATTGACTGGAAAATGTAAAGATATAATGTGAACCCAGAAACAAAAAATCAGCTGAATGAATAGCATACTTTTGGTGGCTTTCTTCTTCATTGTTCAGAGATATTCTCCCTGTTTGTTTGTTCGTTGTTTTTTAAATATTATTGATTGATTGATAAACAGCTGATAATTCCAACAGAACATTTTTTTAATCAAAAAGTACTGCTGAAGTTCAGTGGGAATGTTTCAGCATTCACAGCGTTGCACTGAAAACCAGACCAAATTTTATGATAGCACAGTCCTTGTCTTTGGGTCCTTGATATATCTGACATGTTTAAGAGAAGCCAGGACCCTAAAACCAGTAGAAACTTGCTGCACCAGGGGACCCAACACAGTAATTCATGTAACTTCCAGACATCCAGACTGTTTATTATCTCCATCTCTTCAAAGATGCATGGTAGAGGTCATATGTTTCATTAGCTTATAGCTTGTTATTTGGTGAAAAATATGTATCCGTTAAGACCATTGCCAGTTTGTTCTCAGGAATGTATTTACTACCTGACTTCTTTCTCAATCTCAGAATTTTTCATGAAGTAGGAATTTCAGCCTCCAGAAACCTTTTTTTTAGCACCAGACATCTGCTTGGCAACCATTCTACCTCTTTCATTTATGCATGCTGTTAACTGTTCTAAATCTTAATTTGCACCTTTTTTTTGACTGCTCCTCAAAGGGATGTTTTGATTTAGCATCACCGTAAGGTTCTTCCCACTCTGCTACAGCACAAAGTAGTGTTTTAGGGGAGTGTGTCAATAACTCCTCCATCTTTGACCACATCTGTGGTGTGACAAGACTACGGCAACTGTGACAACTCAGCTACCTTAAAGTGAGGTTATTCTTTTTACCGAGATGAACATCTTCTTTACCTTTCAGTGATATTTTTAGCTGTCTGCAGGAAACGAGCGTGATCATTCTCCTTCAGCGACTGCTCAGCCTGAGAGATGAGGGATGTCGAGCGCTCAATGCACTGTTTGCAGTTCGCAATCTGCTGAGCCAGTTTTCTCAACCTCACCACCTTGAGTGAAACATAAGAAAGCAATCACGTCTCTAAGGTGTGTATCACAATTGTATTTGCACTTCAGAGGCAAAACTTGGCAAAGGAGGAGGTAAGATGAATGGCTTCTGTGACAAGAGCTTCTTTCACACAAGCTTTGTGGGGAAATCCATCTAGCCGTGTAACATTTTCAGTAAGGGACAGGCACAGTCTTTCTGCCTGAATATTTTCCACATGGAAAACAACGGGGGAGAGCCAAAATAAGCACAGCTGGCCTATTTTCCAGGAGAAGGAACGTCATTTCCTGGTAACTTCTGCTTACATGATAACTAAAGGCTATTTAGATAATCATTTCCCTGAAATTATGAGATCTGTGTTAAAGGCATCTTATAGATTAACATTTTTCCTGTTACTTAAGTGAGTTTCATAAAAAGAAATAATCTTAAAATGTAACTTAACAGAAAAAGACTATTCAGTTCTACTAAGAAGACACATCTGACCTTCTCATTATGTGCTTTTAGTCAAACAGGGTGTTTTCTGACTGGATGTTTTTAACTGGACAAAAGCACAGTAGTGATGGAGAGATGATTATTATTACTGCAAACATATGCGCTGGAGATAAACACTGTAGATGTGACTGTAATCATTAGCTGAAAGGTTACGAAAGGGCGCAGTGAATCCTCCATTTAAAGACAATGTTGGCTAAAAAAACTTCCAGGAACTAGAATAGTTCCTGAAAGGTCTGGGAGTCCTTTCCATTGTTATCACATCAGGATCATAGTTTGAACAGCAACAAGAAATAGGAAGGAAATTAAGTAATTCTGGAGTTTAGAAAGGCACATTAAGAGCCAGTTACATTCAAAATGAGGAAACTAACAACCAAGTGGATTGGCAGAAATATTCAAATTTATAATGAAGATCCTCAATCTCAGGAACTACGGAACAAGTTATGAAGCTGCTGAGTTAAACTATTTGTGTCTTAAGGATGAATGAGAGTATCTTAGTACACCTATCTGACAACAGAAGTAAGTAGGAAAATAAACTTTTTTGAAAAACTTTTCAAAGAAGATACTGTCCAAATGATTAATGTCATGTAACATTAGTATTTTTTCTAAAGATAGAAACAACAAAGCAGGGAAAATGCTGGGAATGTATAAATTTTAATAATGCTAATGATCTGATCAGTTCTAGGATGAATTAATGCCACAATGCTTTCTCTACCTGTGCATTTGCAGAGATTACAGTTTGGTTTACACAAGTCTAACCAGGAAAGGTTCATTGCAGTGTTAAAAAATTCATCTCTTTATTAATTAATAAGTAAAACGTGAACTGAAAAAATGTTACCTTGTGAGTTTCTTGCACTCAAAAGAAGGCATGTCATGATTTGTGACATATGTTTTTTGCTTGCTTGCTTCTTTTTATATCTTCTTCAAGAAGACAACGGATGATAAATTGTAAAAGGAAGAGTCTCATCTCACTCACTCCCCGCCCACTTCTGCAATGGTAGGAATGAAATCTGCCCTAAAATTATCTTATCTAGTTGATATTTGTTTTTTTCCTGTTACAAGCTGTTTGGCATTTTATGGGTTTCAGGTGATAGGTGAGAGCTGCACTGGGTTTTTGGACTTGCATGACTTCAAGGCTGAATCTGCAGCCTTGCAGGCACAGCTAGAACTTTATACCTGAGTGTTTCCAGCTCTGTGCCATAACTACAGTCCTACAGAGAAATCTGTCATGCCCTACCTTCCAGAAAGGCCCCCTTAAAAGAAGACACACTGGGGAGAATTTTCTGTGGCTTTTTACTTGAGTCTCTTGAACCCCTGAAACCTTTCACCATGTACAACATTTGGGCCAAAGCATTCCAGATCTTTGCTGGACCTCCACTGATATCGCTTTTGGCCAATAAAGCAGAACAAAGAACAGGGACAGATTCTGATATCAGGTCTATTCAAATAAATTTGGAGTCAATTGTATTGTAAATCTTTCATGCTAAATGGACGTTAGAATACATCTTTGTAAGAAACAGTTTTTAAAAGCAATCAGGCACATAGCGCAAATCCAAATGAATGGAAAGTTTTCTACTTCATTGGCAGCACATCTGGTCTCACTGCATAGAGAAACAGAGTTGAAGCAAAAATTAAGAAGGTCATCTATTCCATTTGAAGGGAATTATATTTTGTTAACAGCCTGAGGAAATTCAGGTTCTGTCACACAGTGTACAGGACCTGTGGTTTCAAACGTGTTTAAATCAGCCCCAGCCTACAGGTTTTTCATTTCAAGTTAATTGGAATATCTTGACAGCCACATGAACCATTTAACCTGCTCTTGACTTTCTTCGTTTCCTGAGCTTTTGCCACACAAGAAGAGTTTATATCTGACTTGGTTAGGTTAGCAGTTAAAGAGTAAACACTGTGCACCTAGCAAATAAAAATATTAATCCAACTGTAATGCATTTCTGAATTAACAGTTAGAAAAATGCATTGAAACTTAAATATCAGAGATTTTTCCTACTTAATATGTTTGCCACTATTAATCACTGAACCTCAGGAATTAGAAATGCACACAATTTAATTTCTTGCATGTTTTTTAATATATTTTTTTTGTAAATAAATTAGGACTTCCTATTCTCATGAATTGCAATGACTGGAACAAAATCTTAATGTGGTAGTATTTGAATAAATAATGAAATTATCTAGGGAAAAAAAGTATGTAGATAATTACCAGACATGATTTCAAATGCTGTGACAGTTTGTGAAAGTAAAACAAGGGGGGGAAAACTGTCAGGCATAAACCAGAGTTCAGGAATCATTAAGTAGACATAATTTAATTGTGATTTGTTGATTGTGACATCATGTCTGTTTTTATCCTTAAAAAACATAATCACACTTAGTAAGAGAAATGCCAAATAAACAGTTGAGGTCTAGCATACTAATTTTCAAGTGTGTCATTCTTCTTTACATGAAAGTAGCAATAGCCCAGGAGTACATAAGGACTTTTACAATTTTGTATTAATAGTACCTGCAATCAAAAAAGCTGTAAAATCAAGGAAGCAGTATTGACCTGCTTGTGATCTAAAGAAGAAAAGCTTTTACCTTTCCCTCTTTGATTTTGGTTCCAATTATTTGCCGTCTTTGCTGGATAATTTCAATGAGCTGGTCACATTCTTCCATCAGCTTGGTTTCTTGGCGGGATGCATTTACCTACAAAGAAAAAGATGATGAATAAGACCTTTTATGGCATTTTCCTTTTCCCTTTTCTAATTTGAAAACTGTAATTTGTAAAATGTTGGGTTTAGCACTTATTTTACTCCTTTCTGTGTATAAACTGTGTGTTATTTTCTCCTCTCTCTCTTGTATTTTGCGAAATGCTGAATTGAGTCTCAATGTCTTGTTTGCAGGCAGGCCTTACAAATAGATAATCAGGTATTTCTAACTCATGTGAGAGAAGCCTTGTCCTGTGAGTATTGTCATACCACACATCAGTGAGAAGTGAAATCTCTTCAGGAGGTGTTTAACACATCAGTTTGCAGCCATATAGAGGACTGCAGTGAACACTGAGGCACTTAAGAGCACGAGTACTGGATCAGACAATCCATCTAGTGCAGTATCCCCTCTCTCACTGCTGCTAGTGCCAGGATCTGCTAGCAAAGCATGTCAGGAAAAGGTCCCAACATGTATGATGACTCCCATGACTGTTTTGTCATCCTCCAACCATTTGCAGCTCAGAGTCTTCTTGAACTAGACACAATTTGTACATCATTACTAATCCTCAGAAGAATTCTATTACATGGATTTATTTAGCCTCTCCTTCAATCCCTGGAAACTTTAAGTATCTGCACCATTCTACAGCAATGAGTACCACAGCTTAACTCACAGGAAAGTGAGCAACTGCCTCTTTAGAGGGATTTGAACCTCTCTCCTTCCAGTTGCATTTAATGACCCCAAGTTCTTTTACTGCAGATGAAGTGAACTAATGATACCCGTATATGTCCACATATTGGTTCCCAAAAGTTTCAAACTATTGAAGACACAATTGACAACACCAAGTCATGTGTCTTGATTGTCTTTACTACTCCCACTTTGCCTCAGCGGTGAATCAGACAGAAAATAATAGATGTGCTCATGTAGTTTTATAAAGTATAAACACATGAGCCAATGAAACTGTTTTTAATGCAAAAAAGCTCACAAAGAACATTAGCTTTCTATGGAAAAAGTTGACTTTTGTTAAAAAGAATAAGAAAATTGATAATAGAAAATTTTGGTTCTCAGATGAAAATGTTTTTTTCTGGAGGAAGTTGTTTTTTTCAGTGAAAAGGCATCATTCTGTACAACAAGAAAATGTACTTCCCCCTCCAACAGTTGTATGTTTAGCTTACGTGTATGCGTAAAGAGTCAGAGAAGAAGGCAAAAAGCTCTAATCATACCTAGAATAAAGTAAAATTGAAAGGACTGATGTTTCCATTTGCTCTTTGCTATGAGTAAAAGAGGGTAAGAAGGTAAAGCAGGGTAATTGCCCCTACAGCCATGTCACCTCTTCCACTGCGCTAGTAAGAGTCAGTGGTGAACAATAACAGGGAATAGTTTCAGGTGACAAGTAACTGTATTTTACCCCTTGGCTATTTTTTCAGTCCAATGAGTCCCTTGATCTGCACCAGCATTCTTTTTTATCCTTCCAACAATGTGTTTAAACGTGTATTTACCTGTAAGCATGTTATGGAGCTCATTAAGCTTAAGCAAATGCTTATATATCTAAATTTGGACCAGGACCAATTTTACAAATAACCTCTTTATGTGAAATACACAGCATCCTCCAGGCAAAGAAGGGACTTTTTAAAAAAGGTTTGCTTTCAACAAGGTTTTTGATTATCCCTCTCAAACCTTCATAAAAATAAAGTTTGTTTGCACATTTTAGAAGCTTAGTTATTAATTAAAATATCAAGATAATGAAGAGACAATACATTTGTTTCTGGAAGGGGTCTGATGTAGCTGTAAGTGCTGAAGATGCAGAAAGTACTTCCACCGTGCTGTTTTGGGTGCCTACCTATCTCCTTAGGTTAGCTGTTTGCTATGCCTGGTTTCTCACCACTGTCCATGAGGAGAGACAGACCATGGAGCAGCTCACCCGAAGCCTCCAGCAGTGCCAGCATCTTTCCACTGACAGCTCAGGTAGCCTGGAAAAATTAATCAGTCAGCACTGTCCTTCCTATTCCCTCTCTTCTTGTCATCCCACCACCTTGGCTGCATAATGGACCTACCTTCACAGCATGAAACTCTGCAGAGCTGTCCTCAACAAGCTGTACAGTGCCCTAGTTTCCACAGCCCTGACTTCAGTTTCACAAGCAGACTGAAATTCCACCAAAGAGGGAGGAATCTCGCACAGGCTCAGCCAGAGGTAGTGACCACATCACCGCTTGTAGGCATAACTCCTGTGTCAATACCAAGGTCAGCTTACACCAGAGCCAACTTCAGCACTTATTATGGTAACACTTTTGGCACTTAATTACAGTAACACTTCACGGGATTTTTGAGTAGCTTCCACTCAAAGCGTTACTTCTAGCACCACTTACATCACCAACTCGTTTTGTCAAGCAGAACTAATTAATTTTTGGGATAACTGTCATGAAACATAGAGCTACAGGAGGGTTAAGTCAATATTGTTTCATTTAATGCTCTGGTTGATTTGAATAACAATGTATTAATTGAATCTTAACTTAAAAAGCTCTAGACTAAGAAAAACAAAATGCTTGGGAAAAAACCTTTGAATTTCTTATGCACTGACTGCAGAATTCTCTTTTTCTTTGAAATCTGAATAGTATGCTCTTTTATAAACTTCATTTGAAGACATTTCCAACTTTATAGCTTGCACAAGCTTATTAAAAATGAAAAGAATATTCCAAAATTATATGATACGTCTGAGCTTTGTACGAAAAAAACCCAAACCCCAACATTTCATCTGGGGTTTTTCTCAAACTGAAATACTCCTTAATCACATTTTCAGCCTACAAAGCCTTTGATTCAGTAATAACTTTATAATTGAGCACATGCCTAATTTTAAGTGCACTATATTAGCTGTGGCCCTAAAGGGACTATTTGTGAGATTACCACTGAATATTATTTACTTTTTTGTTTCCTAGGAGTCATATGTCAGACCAAAGACCCACAGGCAAGGATCAGGTGCTACAGAAATACTGGAATAAGGCTTTGCTTTCTGCTTGAGTCCTTTGATGAACAACAACCTTGACAATAACTTCCAGCTGGGGCTGGCCAAGGAATGCAAGTTCTGCCTGGTGAAAATACTTGAGGTTTTACATTCTACATTTTTCCACATTAAAAAACAAGCCCCCTGTCCAAGGAGTTTGTTAAAAGAGACTTAGAACTGCATTATAAAAATTTGGAGACTGTGCCTAGAGATTGTGGAGGGTCCGAATCTTACAGAGAGTAGACTTCAACCTGGGCTTCCTCCATCCAAGATGAACACTGAATGCTTAATCTGAGGTATCTGTTGTCTGAGAGTTTATGCTGAACTTGGGAACATCTTTCTATAGAAAATTTCACTGACATCAATACACTTAGTTTTGGCACCAACCAAGTACTTAAAAATCCATGAACCTAAAGCTTTGTGTTTTGTTGGTATCATTTTTACAAATTTTTCTTCCACACCACAAAACACTTTTAAAACTGACTAGGAGGCTTAATTATGATTTAGCAAAAACTATGATATTGTCTACAAACAAGCAAGAACTGATTCTAGTCCTCCTGCTTTTGTGGGGAATTTATTCCTGCTTCTGTAATATACAAAGACCTCAAACAGTTTACTGAAAAAAAGAACCCATCTTACAAATTTCAGGTTTCTTTCCAGGTTTTCCAGACAGATGGATAGGGACTGTTGCCCTTTGCCTCGGGAAGTGGGTGTAGTAAAGAAAGAAAAATAAGGGTTCCTCAGATGTCTGACAGGGAGTTGGAAACAGCAAGCCCTCCCAACCAAAAAGGGGGAGCAGGCCAGCTGTTCCCAGCTCCACAGCCTGAGAACTGCTTTGGAGAATGTTTCACTCTCTGCAGAGGCTTCCTTGGCTTTCATCTTCAGAGACCTGAATTAAATTGCAGCTTAGGTCATAAGAAAGTGAATGTGGTGGTTTCAAAGTCCCCAGCAGATGTTTGGGAAATCACAGCACTACAGCATGGCTAAAGATTCAAGATTGCAGTGGAGCTTCTATGGTTAATTCAAAGACAAAGAGAGTCAGAGGGCTAGATTCATACCTACAAAAACTTCGTCAACTAATATACTGAGGAAAAAGATTTTTTTTTTTAGTGTTTCAGCAGAATTTTCCTTGCAGGAGCAAAATGCTCACTCTGAGATTCCTTAGGGGTGAGGCAATTCTGTCCACAAGTGGAAATCCTCATGTCTCTTTTTGGCAAATAATCTCTAAATGATAAGCAAAATAAGACACCCTAAATTAGAGGTGGTCTGCTTTCTCAAGACTGCACTGACTGGGACAAATTCATCAAAACCAGAGCAGTTTTTATTCACTAGTCCTCCACTGATTATGCAAAGTGAAAAGGAAGTAGCTTGTAGAAACAGTCTCATCTTTGGAAATTGAGGTGTGCATTTGAGTTTCAGCTTCATGATATAAAAATAGTATCAGTTCCTCAAAAAAAAATCTCTTTGTAGCTGTGGGTATACAGGTAAAGAAGAGGTACAAATTTGTCTTTATGCATTTGAGTTGGCAGTTATAGAACGACTGTATACTCACACGAAAACAGAAACATAAGAAAAGCAAATTGCATGATTCCACTCAACATCATTGCCACATACTTCACTCTAGATTTGAGCCTGAATTCCTTCTTACACCAAACTCTGAAATTGGGATAAAAAAATCTAAAGCGATTACATATAATGGCTGGTACCTGTTTTATCTAGGATAAGTTTCTTTATTGTCATGTAGATGTGGAACACATTTTCTTGGATTAGAGTTCCTAGATGAATTAAAGGATTATACTGCTCTAAAGAGACAGTTTTATTTTTCTCCATGTTTTAAAGTGAATAACTTTTATTCATAGACCCACAATACGTTGAAGTCATATTTTAGTATTGTCCATGTTTCATTTATTTATTTAATAGAAATACCAAGGATAATGATTAATGCATACTTATGAAAAAGTTACTTCTCTTTCTTTTTATGGACGGCTAGGCTGAATGAGAG